TACTATAATTCAACTTATTTTGTCCACTGAAGGAATGAGCTTTTGTTACATTACATTAAAATATAATAATATATCAATATTGTAGAAGATTACTTTGTGAATATTAAGTATTAAATAAAATGATTGTAGTTTATGGTGATAAAGTGAATCTTATGAAAATTATCTTCCTTGGTATTTCAAAAATTTCTCAGACACAAGACAGACCATTTAGTCCTTTTACCGATTCTAAAATTCCCTCCATTGATTTATATCCAATTTCAAACTGATATTGTAAGTAGAGAATAATATAAGTATACCACAATATGACATTGTGTTAATGTACTTGCTTTAAAACATTAACTAATTTAAATATATTATAGGACTTGGAAAATTTAGAATGGACTAATGATTCAAAAAAATTGGTTWTAGCTATGTTAGTACGCATTGTAGAATTAGAAAATTCTACACCATTAGAGAAAATGATATATTTCACTTATTGTATATGGAAAAACAACTAAATGTTACAGAATGGATAGCTAGTTCAAAGTAAGCGTACATTATTTTTGCCGATAACTCAAGTTCATTTTTATTAATAAATTAATCAAAATATCTTCATAAATTTTTTTTTTTTTTTGTTACTTTAAAGCCTCAACAACTAAGGTTATTAGCTTACATATTTTAAAATATTACTTTCTTCATAAATTGTTGTCTTTCACGTGATAAGTAATAAATAGTTAGTGGCATATAGTTATGACTTTAAACATCGTAAATTGGGAATAATTGGAAAACAATTTTAGGATAACTTTTAAATTTTGTATTCAACAAACAAAATTTCGTGCTCACTTTAAATATTTAAAATTGGCTTGTAATGCTCGTATTGTCACCTCATTGACATGGTAGAATGATAAGTACCTACCTATACCAAATGGAAAATAAAAATAAAAAACGAGAAGTCTTCTCTTATAACTGTTTCTCTTAGGCAAGGGATTATCCCGCCTCTTTCTCTCTCTAGGATGTATTAGAGATTATCAGAATTTTTCAAATCTTAGATTTAAAAAGAAAATTTTTTATGAATTTCTAACTTAAAATAATTTACGAATTTTCGTGATTTTCGTGATTTTTACGTATGTTGTCAAAATTCAAACATTGAATGCTTATAAAAAAAAATTGTGACTATATATTTATTTTATTTTTCAACTGCTATTGTAACAATATGTTAAGAGCCTTGTATTAAATTTTCAAGCTTTTCTACCCAACAAATAAATTTTTATCGATATTWATWTAAAAAAAACTAATAATGATCGAAAATTGCAAATACCTATAAATAGTTCAACTTATGTCAAAAATTTTTGAAAATTGCACGGTGGATAGAATATACTTAGATAAACATTCGGTGAAAATTTCATGTATCTATGGTCCTTTGTTTTAAAGTTATATCAAAAACCAAAATCGATTTTGTCGAAAACTGATTGTGCGTAAAATTTGCCGTTTTCCCCTTAATTTTTAATTTGTTTATCCCGATTATTTAGAAAAATATTGAGAAATTTTGACCTTTGACYCCCCCAATGTAAAAACTAGATTGACTTTCTGATCGAACGAGGTACTGAAGTCAAAAATAGAAGAACTTTTACTGCCCAAAACGTGATGACAGACGCAAAAATAAAAACACATATCATGGTAAATTCAATAAATTCATCGCTCCGCTCAGAATCTAAAAAAGACATCATTGTAAAATCAATACATTCTTCGCTCCGCTCAGAATCTAAAACAAATTGTTGCTTTACAAAACTCTCCTGAAGTCTATTTGAACTTATGGTGTCCAAATATGGGGAGTAGCAAAAAAGTCCAACAGTTTTAAAATACAAACGTTTCAATCTATTTCTCTTCTTATAATGACTAACGCATCCTTCTACGTAACGAATTATACGCACACGGCACGTCTACACACAGATCTTGGTATACAGATTGTCGCCGAAGTAGCCACATTCCGCTGCCGTATCGTGAACCATCCGAAACCACTTATTTTTGTACTTAATAATTCAGTTAACATTCGTGGTTAGGTTTTATCGAGAATGCTTAAAAGGTGCTGGTGTTGTGACTTTACTCAATTATAACACAGTTAAAAAAAAAACTAATGTGTACTGTGTAGCCGTGTAAGTAATATATGTATATATATATAATATAGATAATAATATAGTCGATCGTATCTGAGTGTTACTGTTGGGTGACTTATCTCCTGATATCTTCAGGTCCTTGTAAAATAGATTACGCACATATATGCTTATTATTATAAATACTATTAAAGATTGTATAATATATTYCAAAAAAAAAAAAAATCATGTTACAAAAATAGTTTGATGAGATAAATTATAATAGAGCTAGACAAAAAAATTGAATACTTAAATAGTTTCAAGTGATGGCTAAAAATATATCATATTTAATCCGTATTAGATAGTATGATATATTTATATTTTATTTTCAATATAAAAAAAAAAACGAATCAAAAACATATTACCTACCTGTTGAACAATGATGAGTGCTTTTAACTTCAATTTACAAGGTCGAAGTACTTTAATAGAATAACGGTAATGGGTCACGGAATTAATTAAATTATCGTTTTTACATAGTTCAGCTCTGTGGAAATTGATAAAAAAGACAAAATATTTTATAAATTTCATTTAAACGAAATTTGAGAATAT